ATTTTCCTTATCATTTTTAGGTTATTCTCGGTGTATGACCAGAAGACATTCGAACGAGCCATTAGAACCGGTTGAACCTGAGATTGAGAGGCTTTTTAGGCAACAAAGACGTGCTCAATGTGTAAATATGTATCAAATCAGAAATCAAGGCATTGGTCGTGAGAAAGATCTAAATACCGGGGCAATTCCAAATTCTGGGAATGTAGCCAGACCTTGTGCTATTTGTTATCACTTAAACCCTATCTTAGATGACTTAAATCCTAGAATAGTGGCACCATAAATTCAGGTAGCCTACTTCGAGCTCAAACCTGTCATGTTTAATATGCTGAGTTCCATAGGGCAATTTGGGGGCATGCTAAATGAAGATGCCAGATAACATATTTGTAACTTCTTAAGGTATGCGATTCATTTCGTCAACAAGGAGTGCATGAAGATATCTTGAAGTTAAAGCTATTTCCATATTCTCTGTGTGACCGAGCAAGGGCTTGGTTGAGTGGAGTTCCAGCGGGTTCAATGGAGTCATGGAATGATATGTGCAAACATTTTTTTCTACGGTATAATCCTCCGAACATGAACACCCAACTGAGGAACGACATCGCCTCTTTTCGTCAAGCTGATGACGAATCAATGTATGAATGCTGAGATTATTATAAAGGATTGCTTCACAAATGTTCGAATCATCATTTTCAAGATTGTACACAAGTGGTGATGTTCTATAATGGAGTTAATGCACCCACAAGGATGGTGCTAGATGACTCGGCAAATGGGACATTACTTAACAAATCACCAAAAGACGTATTTGACATTCTGGATAGGATTGCCAACAACGATTATCAATTTCCATCTACAAGGCTTGGACTTGGGCGAAAATCACATTGAGCATTCGAGCTAGATTCTAAGGATTTGGTGTCCACCTAACTTGCTGCTATTACTAATATGTTAAATAATTTGCAAAGGCCAAACGAGGTGAGAGAAGTAAAGGCAACCCATTCAGCATGTTTATTATGCCACGGTAATTACCATGAGAGTGACTGCCCGACCAATCAAGAATCCATACACTATGTGGGCAACTACAATCGATAACCCCTATTCTAACATATATAATCCTGGATGGCGTCAATATCCAAATTTTTCTTGGGGAAACTAAGGAACCAACAGTGCTCATCAACCAGTTCGACATCAGAATTTCAATGACTCCCAAGGTTTCAAACGAATATGCTATGGCATAATTCTCACACGGGAGGGCCATCTTCATCTAACACCAGTTCTTTGGACGCTACAATGCAAGAGTTCATAGCAACAATGAAGACAATACTGCAAGACCATGTGACCTCTATCAAAAACCAAGGAGCCCTGCTTCAGAGCCACAGTTCATCGCTGAGGGCATTAGAGGGTCAGGTTGGTCAAATTGCTACGACATTACAATAACGTCGACCAGGACATCTGCCGAGTGACACTGAAGTCACAAAACCTCATGGAAAAGAACAATGCAATGTACTAACTCTACGGAGTGGTACCCAAATCAATGTTGAAGACAAGTTTGGGGGAAGATCGAAGGATGATTCACCCCCTGAGACTGTGTAAGCTGATTAAGAATTGCTAAAAGAAGTACCAGTGAAAGAGGTTAAGGATGAGGGTTCATCAAGTAAAGCGATTGAGGGGGTAAACAAAAAATGTCAAGGCAAAGTCTATTCCCACCCCATCAGTACAGGAAGTCAGATCCCCACCTCCTTTCCCGTAAAGACTGAAGAAACATAACGAATATATTCAATTTAAGAGGTTTGTTGACATTCTGAGTCAACTTCAAATCAATGTTCCTTTTCTGGAAGCTATGGAGCAAATACCTACATATGCTAAATTCCTCAAGAAGATTGTTACCAAGAAAAAAAGGCTGAGTAGTATGAGACAATTATCACGATAAAAGAATTTTGCTCTTCCTTAAGAAAGCTGCCACCAAAAAGACATGATCCAAGCAGTTTTATCATTCCATGTTCGATAGAAGACAAATATGTTGGGAAGACACTATGTGACCTTGGCTCGAATGTGAACTTGATGCCTAAATCAATTTTCGTGAAGCTTGGGATAGAAAATACGAGACCTACCTCTATCATCTTGCAATTAGCCGATCGTTCACATGTTCGTCCCGAAGGGCGAATCGAAGATGTCATTGTGCGGGTTGACAAATTCGTATTTCCAGTCGACTTTCTGATTCTGGACTGTGAGGTCAATGCCACAACACCCATAATCTTGGGGAGACCCTTCCTAGCTACCGATCGTATCCTTATCGACTGCGAGAAGGGTGAGCTGACCATGAGAGTGGCCGACCAATGTGTCACTGTGAATGTCTCCCAATCTCTCAAATACATGGATAATTCTGAAGAATGCCAGAGCATTTTCGAAGTGGATACAGTAATCGCAAGAGAAGCAGATCAATTTTACCATGATAATTTCATTCAGCTGGAAACTGATGAGAGGCTATTTGAAGACTTAAAGGCCAGAGAGCTTAATGATTTTTCATCGGAGGAGCAACAGACTAGCTTTCTCATAGCTAGCCCAAGTACACATTTTGAACCTTTGAATTTTAAAGAGTTTGTTCCTCCTAAGCCCTCATTACAGCATGCTCCTACCCTAGAGCTAAAGAATTTGCCACAACATATTAAATATGCTTATCTGGTTAGTAACAAAACTTTACCTGTGATTATTTCCTCTGCCCTTACTCCTAACCAAGAATGTAGTTTGTTAAGTATTTTGTCACAGCATAAGAAATCGTTAGGATGGACGATGGTAGATGTGAAGGGAATAAGTCTGACCATTTGCATGCACAAAATCCTGCTGGAAGAATGTCATGGCAATTCCATAGAACCGCATCGAAGATTAAACCTAATCATTAAGCAAGTTGTAATGAAAGAAATTCTCAAGTAGCTTGACGCTGGAGTGATTTACCCTATTTCTGATAGTTCTTTGGTAAGTCCCGTCCAATGTGTGCTGAAGAAGGAAGACACGACCGTGGTGACAAGTGAAAACAATGAGCTGCTACCAACACACATTATCACCGGGTGGCGAATCTGCATGGACTACCGTAAACTTAACAAGGCCACCAAGAAGGATCATTTCCCTTTACCGTTCATCGATCAAATGCTGGATCGACTTGCTGGCAAGACATATTACTATTTCTTGGATAGATACTCGGGGTATAATCAAATTGACATCGCACCAGAAGACCAAGAGAAGACAATATTCACGTGTCCCTATGACACTTATGCTTTTCGAAGAATGAATGCCTTTTGGACTATGTAATTCCCGACAATTTTTCAGCCCTGCATGCAAGCCATATTTTCAGATATGGTTGAGGACTTTCCAAAAATATTTATGGATGATTTCTCTGTTTCTGGAGATGACTTTCAAAAATGCCTCGGTAATCTGGCAAAGGTACTCAAGTGATGTGAGGAGGCCGATCTCGTGCTAAATTGGGAAAAGTGTCACTTTATGGTGATCGAAGGCATTGTTCTAGGCCATAAAATTTTGGTAAAGGGCATTGAAGTGGACAAAGCCAAGATCGAGGTGATCGAGAAGCTACCCCTACCAACTTCTGTCAAGGGCATTCAGAGTTTCCTTGGACATGCTGGGTTTTATAGACGATTCATCAAGGACTTCTCCACTATATCCAAGCCTTTATGTACCCTACTTCAACAAAATAATCCGTTCGTGTTCTATCAGAATTGCCATGGCGTATTTAATGAGCTTAAGCAAAGACTTATCCCTGCACCTATCTTAGTTCCCCCAGAATGGACTTCAGCGTTCGAGTTAATGTGTGATGCAAGTGATTTTGTCGTGGGAGCTGTGCTTGGGCAACGTAGAGGTAAAAATTTCCATGTTATATATTATGCTAGTCGTACCTTGAATGAGGCACAATTGAATTATACTACCACTGAGAAAGAATTACTTGCCGTGGTATTTGCATTTGACAAGTTTAGGCCATACTTGATAGGCACCAAAGTCATTGTTTACACTGATCATTCAGCTATAAAATACTTAGTGAACAAGAAAGATGCCAAGCCTAGACTCATTAGATGGATATTACTACTGTAGGAATTTGACTTAGATGTAATAGATAGGAAAGGTACTGAAAATCAGGTTGCAGATCATTTATATAGTCTAGAGAACATTTCAGAATGACATGACATTTTTGATATTAAAGAAGAATTCCTTGATGAGAAAATTTTATATGCCACGGCAATCCCCTGGTACGCTGACATTGTTAGTTTTCTTGTTAGTGGTATTTTTCCTTATGAGTTGAACAACCTGGGTAAGAAGAAGTTTCAGCATAATGCCAAGTTCTATTTTTGAGACGAGCCATATTTGTTTAAACAATGCGCCGATCAAATGATTCGACGATGTGTCCCTGAAGGGGAGAAACAAGACATTCTACACCATTGCCACACAGCTCAATATGGAGGGCATTTTGGAGACACTATAGCAAAATTAGCTTTTTGCGGCATTTTTTTTACCTATAGTGGCGTTTTTAAGCACCGCAAAAAATACTTACGTCGTTATGACAAACACCGCAAAAAGTGCCGCTAAAGTTCGCGGTGTTTGGTAACAAAAAATGCCACAATAGGTCCAGATCTATCACGGCGTTTCCAGAAAAAAACGCCGCAAAAAGTCAGATCTATAGCGGCATTTTTGGAACAAACGCCGCAAAAGCTCATATCTATAGCGACGCTTTTTTATACAAACGCCGCAAAAGAGCTCATGATAGGGAAAAACCCATTAATATAGAAGACTACATGACAAAACATCCTGAAATCAATTTAAGAACAACCAAATTAACATTGAAGAAATAAAAGATAAAAAATAACATTATTTTATTTTAACCAAGTTTTCACTATTCATTCATAATGATCTAACTGAAACAGACTATCACTAATTAGAAAGCCCCCCATAAACTACTTGACAATTCATCTCTTACTGGCAACTCGACCATGGATGGAACTCTAAAGATAGGAAAATTAGCAAAACCTTTGCTATAACTTGCACAAGTTCTTTGGCAGGTATAATTAAAATCTTTGTGGGTGCCTTGCTAACAAACTCAGTAACAACCTTGTTTCCTTGCGAAGTACCTTCCTTTATCATGCGAGTCATTTTCAAGATTATTCCTGAAGTGGTAACAGAGTGGATGTTAAGAAGATGAATCATTTTTTAAAGTTCACTTTATTTGCATTCGAGTTCGATGTGAACAAAGTTCAATCTTTTAAACTAATTACAGATGCATAATTAATATGAAACAAAAAAGAAATACAATACCAAAATCCTTTTCTGCATCAGTTGCATGAAATATTCCAGTGTAAATTGATCCATTTTTCACATGGACTTCCACCATATGCCCAATGAGACAGGTTGTGAGAAAAACTAGCCGATCACGGGAAGAACTCTCATATCCTCAAGCCTTCCCACCAGCCACTTCACCTATACCAAGTTACTTAAATCAGGAAAATAGTTCAATAATAAGACATTCATGTAAGAGAATGTTCACCTGTAGTTTGATTTCTTCCCTAATTAGGTTTTCCTGACTGCACCTTATTCTCCAACCTAGCCCCACCCTCTCTATCACCTCTTTGACGGGGAAATCCATTAGCAGAAGATTTGGGCAACAGAGCTTGTGGGATATTCATCTCAAAAGGAAAAAACACCTATAGAGTAAGTTTTTAGTATAAACTCAACACTTCTATGATCCAATTATAAAAAAGTAACACTTGAATTTTTCAAATTCCAGGATTTACAAAATGGGTGGATGCACTTCTCTGCATAGCCACACCAATGTTAAAACTTTAGGGCTCTCGATGTTAATCTAAAACTTCCTGCTTATAAATGTAGCATTATTACCCATCCTCATATTGTTAATCTAAAACTTTCCACCTATAAATGTACCATAAACCTCTAGGCTTCACTGCTGTCAATGGTCCATCTTCGCCTATTCTACCGGTTATATATGCATAAATGTTTTATTCTTTAAGCTTGACATAAAGGTTTCAAAGCCTTATACAGTTGTGATGTTCAGTGCATAGCTCTAAAGAAGATGAATCAATCAATGTGGTAAGATCTAAAATTGCTCAGTGATGCACCAAATTAATTGTCTATTATTATAAGTATATGCATACTACTTTTTCCATTATTGATTTGATTAGATTATAAATCATACAATACTATACAGAGAAGACAAATCTTGTAAGATGACAAAAATTATCAAATTTGTCTTTTGTTTCAATAGAAATAGAAAGCCTAAATCTCGGCATCACTTCCTCGTAAACTAATGTATTATGCATGTTAAAATCAAGAACGCAAAACAACAAGTAAATTGTCAACAAACTCTAAATGACAACCAACTTCAAATATGTACTGAAGAAAGAAAACAAAATGTACGTAAAACACTCCATCTCCACACCACATAAACTTTTTTTCCACAGTAGGCCTTGAATTGAAACATCATCTAATTAAAATACGCTCACCCCACCTTTCGCATAAAAAACATAAAGGTGACATTCATGAAAAGCACTTACCTCCAGCACAACATCAGGATTTATGTCTGAAAGGGTCTGAACAATAGTATCAGTCTTTGTCATACCAATCTTTAAAAGATATTTGAATGTCAGATTATTCAAATTAAGGTATAAAGCCAAGCTTCTGGCTTTACAACCTTGCAAAACATGTAGTTGCATCAAGAAAGTTGGTGGGAATTCTATAATATTATATTACTTTCAAGAAATGTGGACTCACTATTTCATGAAAAGTGGCATTTTCCAACTAGAAGTCACAATGAAACATTATGGAAAAGGATACACATACTCACCCTGCTCAGGGTGAAAGAATAGCCTATTAATGTTAGGTAACTCCACTTTGTCATAATCGTACAACAAAAAGCGACCTATACCGCACTTTGTTAGCATCTCAGTTGCAACACTGCCAACACCACCAATACCTTGCAAGTTCATTATCAAATATGCAAATTCTTTGCCCACATAGGCCCACCACCATGTTCATTATCAAATATGCAAATTTTTTTCCCACAGAGGCCCTAACCTGTGACACCAAATGTATACAAATTCATTGGAATTATCCCACAATTTTTTATTTTTTATAATTATATATATATATATATATATATATATATATATATATATATTCCATAAAAATGGTAAAAGAATCCTAAATCATAGGCCTACCCAAAAAAGATTTCTTTGACAGTGAAAGTCCTCATTACAGAGAAAAGGCAAAAGCAGTGAAGTAGAAGAAGCAAGAACTAAATATACAACAAAAGAATAAGATATGGAAAAGATGATGAAAAACAGAAGCACGTAAAAAGATGGAGTCTCTGAACAAGAAACTGGGTAAAGAAGTAGCCGAGGAACGAAGGGGAAAAGAAGCATTGGAGATAGTGTGTGAAAAGCTTACGGTAGAAATCACTTTCAAGAAATCAGAGATTGATCGAATAAAAAGGGAGTTCGAGGAGGGGAGAGGGGACTGTTACCTCACAAAATGCATTAAATAAACAAGTGCGAAACACAATATATCTACGAACTCAATAGATCCTCTAATTTCTTTGGGGACCAACGAAATAGGAAAGGAGAGGGGATTGTTACCTCGTTCACCTGAACCTCTCACCGAAGCCTAGAAATCGTCATCATTCGTAGCTTGTCATCGTGAGGGGGTAGACCGAGGGTCGTCGGTTGTTTAGCAAGGAGTGAGTGGGTTTATAGCTTTCTTAGGTTTCATTTAGAATCAAGATCCTTTTTTTAGAGATTAGACGAGGGAAATCTAGGGTTTTATTCAGTTGTCAGCTGTAGTGAGAGAGAGAGAGAGTTACACTGATGACGGTGTTTCGAGGTGACCAGGAGCCTTCGGGGGTTTCATGGCCGCATGGGGGGAACCGATAACAACATTTGATGGAAATTGGAACGTCTGGAAGTGTATTTAAGGGCTCCAAAATTTGTGGCGTTTTTAAAACCAAATACCACAAACATATCAAACTATTGCGGCGTTTGTAAAAAAACGCCGCTAAAGTAATACTCTGTTCCAACATTTTTTCACTATAGATGAACTCTATTACGGCGTTTGTATAAAAACGCCGCTAAAATAATATTCTCTTATGTCATTTTTTCAAAAAACGCCACTATAGATGAACTCTATTGCGACGTTTGTATAAAAATGTCGCTAAAGTACTATTATGTTATGGCGTTTATTAAAAAACGACACTATAGATGAACTCTATTACGACATTTATATAAAAATGCCGCTAAAGTACTATTCTGTTACGACGTTTATTAAAAAATGCCACTATAGATGAACTCTATTGCGGCGTTTGTATAAAAACGTCGCTAAAGTACTATTCCGTCGCGACGTTTATTAAAAAAACGCCACTATAGATGAACTCTATTGCGGCATTTGTATAAAAATGCCTTTAAAGTACTATTCTATTACGACGTTTATTTAAGAAACACCGCTAAAGTATCATTTTATGGTGTTTGGATTGTATATGTCGCTATATGTTTAAAGTTTGTGACATTTACTATCCAAACGTCGCTAAAAGTGCCGTTACAGAACAGTTTTGCTGTAGTGAGGTGCGAGGACTGATGCAAAGGTCCTTCAATCAGGCTTTTACTGGCCATCACTATTTAAGGATGCTCACGAGTTTTATAAAGCTTGTGATAGATGCCAGTGCATTGGAAACATTTCCAGACGACACGAAATGCCATTACAAAATATTTTAGAGATAGAGCTCTTTGACGTTTGGGGTATTGATTTCATGAGACCATTCCCATCTTCTTTTGGAGATTTGAACATTTTGCTTGCGGTGGATTATTTATCTAAGTGGGTTGAAGCGATTGCCACACTGAGGAATGACTCTAAGACGGTGCTCAAATTCTTTCACAAGAACATCTTTAGTCGATTCGGAGTGCCAAGAGCCATCATCAGCGACGAGGGCACTCACTTTGATAACAAGCTAATTGTTAAGGCATTACAAAAATATAGAGTGTGACATAAGATTGCCATGGTATATCACCCACAAACAAATGGGCAAGCTGAAGTATCTAATAGTGAAATCAAGCAAATCCTAGAGAAGTTGGTGAACCCTAGACGGAAAGACTGTTCCCCGAAACTGGATGAAGCGCTCTGGGCTTATCGGATGACATTCAAAACACCTCTGGGAATGTCACCTTTCAAGATGGTATATGGAAAAGCCTATCACCTACCTGTGGAGTTAGAACATAAGGCATACTGGGCGATCAAGAAGCTAAACTTCGATGCACAATTAGTTGGGGAGCAAAGGTTACTCGATCTGAATGAAATAGAAGAGTTTCGAGCACAAGCATATGAAAATGCCAAGCTTTACAAGGAAAAAACCAAGAAGTTGCATGACCGAATGCTTTTGCCACGGCATTTTCATATTTGCCAGCAGGTGCTCTTGTTTAACTCGAGGCTAAAACTCTTCCCTGGAAAACTGAAGTCATGATGGTCAGGACCATTTGAAGTACACCATGTTTACCCTCATGGCTCTGTGGATATCAAGAATATGGATGATGAATCCATTTTTAAAGTCAATGGCCAGCGTCTGAAGGCTTAACAAGGAGCTCCACCCATGCGTGACAAATCTACATTCTTCTTGCACGATGTTGAAATCTGCTAAGCATCTTGAAGATGCTGTTACATTTTGGATTTACTCATGTGCATAAATAAATGTTTATTTTGTTACTATTTTTATTCAATTTCCTTTTAATTGGCTATTCTATTTTTCTTTGCAAAGTTAGGGTCCATCCAAACCTTCAACCGTACCAGCATCAGATTCTGAACACTCCAGCCCCACATAATTACGAAAGCTCACACGTCGAACTACAGCCGCACCACCACCAGTCTAAAGTTGAGGTACCTTGCATTGCATTGCATTGCATTTCATAGCATATAGTTTAGATTTTCCTTAGTTTTTAGTAAGCATTGAGGATAATGCTTCTCTCAAGTTTGGGGGAGGTAGGGTTCTCAAATCATTGCATGTCTTTATTAGTAAATGTTCGAATAGTTTTCTGGAATAAATTAAGGATGCTGAATGATGATGAACTCTTTATGGCTAGAATAGAATGTACATGACTGTTGAGGATGATAGAATCAACTCTAGGACTTGCTTCTTTAAAACCTTTGAATACACGATTGTATGTTTTCCATACTTAAGGAACTTAGAATTTTTTTATAAGAGAACTCTTGCATGTCTTGGCATAAATGATGAAAACCCCGCAAAAATAAAACAAATGAATGAATCAAAAAAATGAAATTACGAATAAATGCTTCGACATATCTGTAGAGGGACACTCCGCTATGCCACGACATTGCCTGTAAACTACATTTAAATAAATGGCATTCATAACATATGAATGAATGAAAGTATTCACTGAATGACTCTACCTGATTAGCTCGGGGGTGGAAGGTATGCTCCCTTTCACCTAGAGTGTGGGATGGTAGGTGTTATGGGTTGACTCCCATCATAGCAGTGTAAAAAAAAGAGGAAGAAGAAGAAAAAAAACAATGTGGGAGTAAATTTGTAAATGTAGTGGGAAAACAAGAAAGCTTACATAGAAAATTTTTAGGTTTGTTAAGCATAGACTGGATACAAACACGCACACACTCACACAAAGGA